CCTTCTCCCAGGGCGCTGAGCCCAGGAGGTTGCCCGCCCCTCTCGCTGTTAGTTCTTAGGGCCCCGCTGGGTCTCCCGCCAACCTGAGACCCGCCCCTGACGAGGGGGAGGGCATATGGAACCCCTGGTTCTCTTCCCCAACCCTCACGTGTCCCACCCCAATCGTGTCCACGTTCCTCCCGCCCACTGCCCCCTGAGCCACACGCAGGACCCAGCTTCACACGCGTGTCCCACTCCAGACCCCACTCGTGTACCTAGGAGGTTGCCACATGACCTGTTACATGCCACACGCGTTCCCGCCCCCACGAGAACGCGGCGGCGCCAAGCACACGGTATGGGTGTAGACCGGACCCGCCCCTAAATCCAGGAGACCATCAATTTATGGAAGAGAGACTTAGGGTACACAGTCTCAAACCCTCCCGGGTTCTGAGTCTCGGACCCAGGAGACACAACCCTGACCATTCGCCCGGGATGCAGTAGGAGGGATATTAACCAGACTTCAGGAAGACTTCCTTGATGCCCGAGTTAGGTGGCCGTCTAAGGGTAAGAGGTTAGACGGGATGACGGCGGGGCTGAAGGTAGTGGGGGACAGGCAACCCTTGTGCCCTTGGCCAAGGTAAAAGGAGACCCATCTATTTTTAAGGAAGCGCCGCTAGAATTACTATGGCAACTGCTCTTCTAGGGAAAGCCAGGGTAGGCAGATGGTGACCACGGAAGGAGGAAGGGGTCTGTTTGGGTGGTCGGGGGCCGCGAGGACGTGCGAGGCGGGGACGCGCGGGGCTCACCGCGGGGAGGGGCGGCGCCGGCTCCGCGTGGTGCTGAAGGGGACAGCGCCGGATTTGTCGCACTGCGCAGGCGCAGAGGCGCTAACAAAGCGGGGAGCGGGAGAAGGCGCGCGGCCGGAGGTGCTGCGCGCCCACGAGCCTCTATCTTAGCAGAGGTGGATCCTTCCAGCTGTCCCCTCCCCAAGCAGGCTGAGGAAGAAGAAGCAAGTCCCTCACCCAAGCTGATCCTCTTTGGTCCTTCCCCGCTGCTGGCTTCTCTCTTCTCGCTGCTTTGGGAGATGAAGGGATGTGGAAAGAATTCTGGGAAACCCAGGATGCCTTAGTTCTCTATCCTGACTCGCTTGACCCTGGACAAGGCGCTTCCTCCCCAGGGCCTTTGTCTCTTGTTTACAGTGGAATGACAGCACAGGCCTGCCCACCTTGCAGAGGTGCCCGAATAATGGATGGGAAGCAGTTTTCGTTATAAAGAGGCAGGTGAATCTGTTGCACCGAGAGGGCAACCCTGCT